GAACAAACCTTATCATCCATTCTGGAGAAACTGGCCAGTATAGGAGTAGAGCATAAGTCAGACTTGAGTTTGGTTAAAGAAGAGGATCTGCAAGATCACCTCAGACCTATCCAGTGTCGCAAACTGCTGCAAGCATGGAGCACTGAGGGTAATGTATCTGAATGTTTCTAGTATTGTTTGAAGTGTATTAATTAATTTGAGAAACTTTGTCTCCAAATTGTTGTATTGGTAATAATAATAATAGTAATATGTTTATTAAATGAATAACCCCTTTTGTTTATGTTGTTGGTCAAACATAAAATGCTTATATTTGAAACATTGAAATGTTTATGTTTCTACATCATTGTAACTCTTTAGATCAGATGAGGGGTGCAGCAGTTGTGCAGCCAGTGTCCTGTGATGCATCATCTGTGGGCATGTCATGGAGTTCATGTCATCAGAATACCTCTTCCAGCTCCAGCACCCCTTGTCAAGCCAGCACATCCTCCACTGTGGATATTGATACTTGGCCTGACAGTTTCAAGGTGCCATGGAGCAAGATGCCTGCAGGAATCAAAGCAGCAATAGCTATGGAGCAACGCCCAAATCCTCGAGATCGTAGACAAATGGTTAGAATTGTAGTCGATGAAATGAGGCTTACTGATGCTAATCCCTCAAGATCAGACTGCCAAAGTGTTGCAAAGATGATAGTCAAGCAATACCCCAAGAGTTTTGCAGACATCTTGAAGGATGGTACCAAACTTGGGAGTGGTTATGCTTCACTTGTAAACCAGCTGAAAACACGTGTTGAACACCTGAACCGTGACAATTTTGTGGCCCGACGCAGGAGAGAGAAAAGGCTCTCCAGCTTATCAAGCAATAGCAGTACAAGACAAAGAGGGCCATCAGACCAGTATGGGTGCATCAGGTGGCAGCCTGACTGTCCCCTAGGAGAAACTGAATCCAGTCTGGAAGAGAAACAGAAGGAAATGATAGATCTATACTCTCATGAGGGTTCAGCAGGAGCCGAGAGGGAGCACCTTACCCAGCTCATGCAAACAACATACTATTTACAACGTAAAGCCATAAATCCTAATCCAGCACCATCCATAATGGAGCTTAAAAGCAGCTGGCCA